TCCAGGCTGGGGATAAGGCCACGGGTACCCTCCAGGCTGGGGATAAGACCATGGATACCCTCCAGGCTGGGGATAAGGCCATGGATACCCTCCAGGCTATGATTTTCTGCCTACTAGACTCTGCATCTGGCTCTTAACGCAAAGTGATTCCAACTCCACTCTGCCCTTCCAAGCACAGCACAGACACCTTGGTTACTAGTCCCGGGCTTCCCTTAGTCTGGAAAGTCATGAAGCTCACTTACTAGTGCATACAAGGCCCTCAGTGAAATACCACTGCCTCCTATCTCCAGCAGCTAGCAACCTTTCTCCTTCTCTGGCCCATCGTGTGTGGGTCAGAGTTCTCCAGAGGACAGCTGTCCATATGAGCTCAGTGGACGGGCAGACAAATCTTCAGGGAGATACAGACTTATTCTCAGGGGTTAGTTCCCATGGCCACGAAGACAAAGAAGCCCTAAGACCTGAAGTGAACTGGCTAGAAACTGGGAGAGCAGAGTGGGTAAAATTCAATCAAGTTGAAGAAGCAGGGTTTAAGGTCTACACCTAGTTTAAGTCCACAGGCTTGAACCCAGTGATGATGGCAGATCCTTCCCTCCCCCCCCCCTTTGGGAACCATTTGTCTAGATCAGTGGTTTTCAATTGTGGGCCACGACCCTTTGGAAGCAATATCCTGCATACCGGATATTTACATTATGATTCATAACAGTAGCACAATTACACTTATGAAGTAGCAGTGGAAATAATTTTATGGTTGGGGTAAACACAGCATGAGGAACTGTACAAAACGGTCAAAGCATTACGAAGGTTGAGAGTCACTGCTGTAGAGGAAGTTGCCTTCAGAGACACCTTGATCAGGACTCCAGGCCCATTGCCCACGGTTCTTTGGGTTTTACCTTCCTGAGTATCAGCTACATTGTCAGCGAGGCAAGCTGATTGCTAACTATGTATCAGGTTCAGACACAGAGAGCTGGCAAAAGGAGAACACGCTGCCTGTACACTTCCAGCAAGATTTTTGAGATCCATCTAGGTCAGATAAAGTCACATATCCTCCCTAACTAATAGCTTACTTGAGGTATGGGAAAATTAACATTTGTGTGTGGGGGGGGGTGTGTGGGTGTCTGTGGTCAATGGTGGATGGAGTAGAATAGAACCTGAAAGTGGTACTAGTCTTTCAGACACTCACAGAGGAGTGATTGTGCCCAAGATTCTTGGATTAAAAATTGAGCATTGTTAAGAAGCTGGGTTAGGAGGGAGGAGTGTGGTGGGGGCTCCACAAGTGTAAGCAGCAGGGAAGCAAAGCTGCTTGGGATGGCTGAGAGAACTGTGGGGTAAACAGGCCCTCGATCATCTCATTCCATTAATGCCATCTATTTCCATTGCTCCGCAGCCAAATTTCCCACATGCTCACCCTTCACCCATGAGCCCTCAAAGCAGTGGTCCTCAAGGGGCGGAAGTGTCTCATTTTGCATCAGGGACAGGACACTCTCACATCTGTGAGTTGGGTTAACATTAATTGACCTTGCATACGGCTAGGTTTCCTGATAGAGTGTGGAATCAGACTTTGAAGCCTGTACGACTGAATCCAACCCATGGTGTCTCTGCCAGGTTAACTGTGACTCCGAGGGACCCCTTGCAGGCTAGTCAGCCAGCCTTCCTCAAGGGTCCCCTCTCCGCACTGCTGTGTTCCACTGGCCACCCCCTTCCTCCGTGTTCTTCATCTGGCTTTGCAAGTGAGAAAACTGAGGGGCCAATCATGACCTGGGGCAGGAACAAAGAGACAGTGATTGACCCCATTTATGCGACCACAAAGACTCACATTCTGGGCCTCTCTGTGTGTTAGTAACATCTACCTGGACAAACTCAGTCCCCAGGAGTCCCTGTTTGTCAAAGAAAGTATTAATCAATAAGTGTTTGTGCTTAGTCACACAGGGTCAGGGGTAGAGTAGCATCAAATGGTTCCCACATCTTCACTAGGTTGTTTGATTCTTTTGTCCCCTTGTTTCCAGCCTCCGGGTGTCCTTATCTCCTCCATGTGCCCAGCACAATAGGGGAGCTATGAGTCAGCAGAGATGTGTCCTTTACCGAAGCCAAATAAGGGACTGAGCCCTAAACCCAGCAATAAACCCAACAAGGTTTTATTAATTCAAACAAAGTGTAGTCTGCAGTTGGAGGGTGTCTAGGGCACATCAGCCCAAATGACTCTCAAAGGAAGAGGAAAGGAAAGCCGGGCTGCCCACCTCTGTTTATAGGGAACAATTGTTCTCCGGGTCCAAACCACATGTCCATAATAGGGAAGAAGGATGCAGCCCTATCAGGGAGTTTTTATTCTTAGGGCCGGAAAAGAGCAAAAGCTGTTGCTCAGGCCTGAAGCGTGTCGCTTTGGACTTCCCGTTTCCCCCTCCTCTCCTTGGCCCCAGCCCCGCCCCTAACCCCTGAGCTTTTGGTCTTGGCTTGCACAAAACAAACAAACAAATAAAAAAAACAACAACAGAAAATCCCATCTTGATGACGTTGAGATAAGCAACCAGCACCTTCTTAGGGATGAGGTGAACAGGAAATTACAGGGAACACAGCCAAAATCCCCGCTGTCTGGGCTGCTAAGCTGGTGGAGCCCGGGTGAAGTGCAGAAGTCAGGAGCCAGCCGCCTTTGTGAGACTTCAAAGTCCTGAAGGGGCTCTGATCTCTAGGGTTGGCCTTTAGAGTCCCTGGAACTATAGGTACAACTGAGAGAGATGTGGCAGCTTCGCTTCTGGCTGTGAGGAAGGCAGGTAGGAAGTCTCCTCTTCCTCCCCTGTAGCAGGGGCAGCAGACACACAGCTCTTGATGGCCGCCCTCAGACAGTCTTTCTAGGAGAATGCACAGTAGGGAGCTTCCCTGGGCTTTGGGTGCAAATAGAACAGTGTTCGCTTTGTGTTCTCATTTACTCCCTGCCAAAGCGTCTCCATGGAGCGGAAGGCTATGCTGCCTGCCTTCCCCGGCAAACGTTCCCGGTCCATTCCATGCCCACCATGGCCAGGAAAGCCACCTCGCAGGACACAGGATCCATGGAGAGGAAATGGGAATGGTTAGTCAAACGCCTTGCAGAGTAGGGCAGTGGACTGAGAAGAATAACTCTGGCATTTGAGGGTAAAAAGAGCTCTCTGCTCCCCGCGGACCAGGCTCATTCCTGCGGACCAGAATTATTCCCGCGGACCAGGCTCATTCCCGCGGACCAGGCTCATTTCCGTGGACCAGGCTCGTTCCCGAGGACACAGACTTGCAGCTGTCTGCCACAGGCCATCCTTCCCTGAGGTCTTGTCAGTGACAGCTGTCTAGAGGAGGCAGGGCTAGCTTTGCCATGTGTGGGGTATGCTTCCAGACTTTTCCCTCCTCCTGCCCAGCACATGTGACTCAGATCACACTGGCATTCAGGACAATTCTGAAACACAGGCATGTCTCCTGTACTAATTGTCTATAAAGTTTTGTTTTTGTTTTTGTTTTTTCCTGTCTGAGGATTGAACCTGGGGTGGGACGCACACAAGGCAAGTGCTCTTCCACTGAGTCACAGCCCCAACTCTGTAAGACTGGAAAGCAAAGGAGGCATGTAATTGCTTTGTTTTTGTATCAGGGTCTCACTGTGTCGCCCCAGTTGACTTGGAACTCATTATGCAGTCCAGGCTGGCCTTGAACTTGTGGGTGGTGATCTCCCTGCCTCTGCCTCCTAAGTGCTGGGATTATAGGTTGCATCCTTATGCTTGACTCTGTGGAGTGTACTTATAGCCAGCCTTTCCTGGTTGCAATATTTACAATGTAGGACACTTAGAGGTACGGGATACTCCCTGAGGATGACGTAGTCTAGTAGGGTAACTCTAACCATGAGACTTTGTCAATAAAAATCCAGATCTTTACATATTTCTTTTACAGAGATCTTACTACAGGACAGAGGCCAGCACAAAAACTCATGAAGGCATGGTGGATGAACGAAGTGTATTATACATACATGGTAAAATAGCCAGCTTTTTCCTCACTTAAATACCGGGGAGAAGCAATGTAAAGAGAGGAAGATTTGTCTGGACTCTGTCTTAGTCAGTGTTCTGTTGCTGTGAAGAGATACCATGACCAAGGCAGTTCTTGGGAAAGAAAGCATTAATGAGGGGCTTGCTTATAGTATTAGAGGGTTAGCTCGTGATCATCACTGCAGGAAGCAGACAGGTATGGTGCTGGAGCAGCAGCTGAGAGCTTTATAGCCTGATCTACAGGCAACAGGAAGAGAGAGAGAAAGAGAGAGAGAGAGGGAGAGAGAGAGAGAGACTGGGCCTGGCATGGGCCTTTGAAACTTCAAAGTCTACTCCCAGTGACACACCTCCTCCAACAAGGACACACATCCTAATTCTTCACAAACAGTTCCACCAATGAAGGACCAAACATTTAAATACATAAGCCTATGGATGCCATTCTCAGTCAAACTATCACAGGCTCTCAGTTTTAGAAGACTCAGTCCATTGCCACCATTAGTCCTGGGCCTGTGTAAAGCAGAGGATCATGGTAGATGAGCATCCTAACCTGGAGCTGCTCACCTCCAGGTGTGCGAAGAGGAAGGGACCAGGCAAGTTAATATTCTCCAAAGACCTTGTGAGCTACCACCCCTTCCTTCCACGGTTCCAGCACATACCGACTGACTATTCAGATTCTGAATCTGTCAGTAGTTGAGACCACTGCTCAGCTCGACAGATCTGATGTCGTGGGCACACCCTCACAGACACACCCAGGAGTGTGCGTCACGTCATGGACTGCATAAAACGGAAGATCTGATGCATGCTACAGCATGGAGTGATCTTGAAAACATGAAACCAGAGGTCAGACATCAGCGCCCGGCCTGCCGTGCGTGCGGCTGTAAGGCCGCCCGCTCCTTTCCATTGTGCCAAGCCCGCTGAAGAGTCGCCATGAGCAAGGCCCACTCTCCCGAACTGAAGAAATTTATAGACAAGAAATTATCATTGAAGTTAAATGGTGGCAGACATGTACAAGAAATACTTCGGGGCTTTGATCCCTTTATGAATCTTGTCACTGATGAGTGTGTGAAGATGGCAACTAGTGGGCAACAGAATAACATTGGCATGCTGGTCGTATGAGGAAACCTTAGAAGCACTGGAAAGAGTCTAAACAATGGCTGTTCAGCAGAGGAGTTCACATACTTCCCCGAAGGAATGTTTGACTTGGGTGTAGAATTGGGTCATGTACATTTTCATTAAAAAAAAAACAACCCTTTTTGCTAAATAAACTTTTGTTATACTCAAACAAAACAAACAAAACAAAACAAAAAAAAAACATGAAGCCAGGCACAAAAGGCTGCTTCTTGTTTGAGTTCACTTATATGATATATTTGGAGATAAATCCATACGGACATAACTCAAATGGATGGGTGCCAGCGGCTACAGACACGGGGAATTAAGTCATGGTTTAATAGGTACTGAGTGTTCCTGTGAGGTGGTCAATAAATTCAGGAACTAGGTATAGCTGATGTTCACACAGCATCATGAAGTACTAGACACCACTGAGTCGCTGACTCCAAAATGGTCATTTTGGGCTGTGCTTATAGATCAAGGCGTGGGGAGGGGGACTTGCTTGCCTATGTGCAAGGATTTGGTCCTCAACTCCACAGAATGAAACAAAATGAAAATAAAATAAAATAAATAATTTTATGTTATATAAATTTCACCTTAGCTTTTTTTCTTTGGAATAAAAAAGAAATTGGGAAAGGCCAGATGGCTCAGTACATAAAGGTACTTGCTGTCAAGCTGAGGACTTGAGTTCAATTCCCAGGACCCCTTTGAAAAACAAAACAAAACAAAAAAAAAATAGATTCCTGATTCCTGAGGGTTGCCATCTGATTTTCATACTCATGTTCTTTCTCTCTCTCTCTCTCTCTCTCTCTCTCTCTCTCTCTCTCTCACACACACACACACACACACACACACACACAAGGAATAAAATGTAACTGGATAAAGGGAGTCACCTGAACAATAGTGTTTTAATCAGGGTGGCTCCCAGTAAGCCCCACCGTGAACTTTTGGTCTCCGAAGCGCTCTTACTCTTCTACCCAGGCCTCTCCTGCACCCACAAAGTGCTAACTGCTCTTGTGGCCATCATCATCTTCTGTCCACACAGGACTTCACCAGGGCCACCCACAGACGTCTGCCTCAGTTTCCAAGTCCAAACAATGAAATACAAACATGTATATAGGCATGTATATTACACACACACACACACACACACACACACACACACACACCACACACACACACACACACACCACACACACACACACACACACACACCACACACACACACACACCACACAC